TGTGAGAATCGTTACAAGCTTGTTGCATGCAAATTATAAAGAAAATCTAATGACTAGATTTTCTATAAATTAACAAAATCAATTTTAAAGGCCTGTTTATATTTATTCATGTTGCCATGGCAACGGCAGATACATCAGCTTAACCATCAAAAAACCAAAGTTTGTGTTGTTAACTTGCTTTCTGCCATTTTTGACGACCGACGGATCAAGGGTTTAGAGAAAATGGTGAATGAAACACAGGTATCAAAAACTGTGCTCAGCCACCTTAAACCGCTGCATTTGAACTTTTCCCTCTACATTGTTTAAAAAAAAGATGCATTGGGAAAATGGCCACAAAAGAAGTAGCGAACGTTTCTCGGTTTTATCTGTCACATTTACGGCGATTTTCTTACGTGAAACTCCCGTTCATGACTTCTCGCGCAGATTTCTACAGGACTTTGCCATCTACAACCAAGGTAATTTCTGAGTTATGATTTAAATTATTGCTTATATGTGTGATACACAATGTCAAAGAATAATTTGTGTAATGAAACATGTCGACTTATGTTCATAAAGATGACTGCAAAATCGAAGTTTTCAGCTCGGTCCTCTAAAAATGGCGCAATTGGTCAAAATACCCTTTATGATTTTTCTTCTAGCGCACTTAATTTCCACACGCCAAACTAGCCATTCAGATATGGTTTACCCATAGCATAGCTCTTTCTTTAGAACCTTTTATTTGTCAGGAAATTTGTATACTAGAAGGGTTATGACCCTCTAAAATCAGTTGAAATTTTACATGTAAATTAAATTGTGATAGTTATATTTTTCAAACGGCCTAGAAGTAGACAAAACTCTTGAGCAGGATATTTAAAGAACCCTTGCGGGAATATCAGAGTTGATACTTAACAATCAATTCGAAGATCGTGCAGATCCTTGATAAATTCTGAAGTCAAAATTATACCAATTAGCATGGTCGTCTCTTGGAGACAATATTCTTACCAAAGAATTGCTCTCCCTTTAAATGTACTTTTGATTAAGCAATAGGTTCTTTTTTGTGATCTATTACAGTTGATTCCAGACAAATTTTCAATGGACGTGACTTTCGGCGAAACCGGAACAACAAAACAAATCAGAGAATATTGTGCTAAGTATGGAAACGATTCAAGTGAAAAAGATCTCGATTTCTCGAACTTTATTGTGCTGGAGAAGTATAAACTTGTATACTGTACGGTTCCCAAGGTGGCCTGTACGGTCTGGAAGCGAATACTGGCCAACTTAGAGGGCTACAACATTACACAAGGCGTTCACAAGAAAACTAAGGGCAAACTGAAAATTCTAAGTAATTATACAACTGAAGACCGCAGCAAAATTCTCAAAACCTACAAGAACTTTATGTTCGTGAGAGAACCTTTTGAACGACTTTTGTCGGCGTACAAAGATTGCTTTTGGGGAAAGTTCAAGCGACGCCAGAAAAGTTGGAAACATTATCGCAAGGAAATTAGAAAACTTTTGGCCAAACGTGGCGGTCTTGATATCGACGTTAATGTTGATAACACAACTTTCGAACAATTTGCAACCTATTTGGTTCTTCGATGGAGGGAAG